TCTGCACTAAATGAACGAGCGCTACTGCACGTGCAAACGGCAACAACTGGCAGTCTCTATTGGTCGACAGCCCACAGCAGGTAACGACTACTGCAAATGATAAAAAGAAAAACAAATGTCGTAGCATTTATTTAAAAGCTGACGATGTATTTAGCGATAATTGTGTCATATGTGGAACGGTTTGTAGTTGCCTGTCTTAGCTAACTTTCCTGGGTGCTATCAAGGCTGCTACGTTTTTTTTGTTGGAAACAATAAGCGGACAATATGTCTCTTGCTGCTGGTAAAACGGGTCCTATAGCTTTTTATCATTGGAACTTTGGTTTTATTTGTAATGAATATTAACTAGTCCAAATTAACCCAAGGAAGTGACGTTAAAGGGATGTTATGCTAGCTTACTGTAAGCTAGTTTTCGTATGTTTTGTCTTTGCCACTTATGTTCAATTAGCGCTGATTGCGTGCAGGTGTGCAACTGTAACCGTTATGTTTCTGGATAGCTAGTGCTTTCAGGTAAGCATCGGCACTTTTATTTGGCTTTATAATGAACTTTTTTGTTGTTATAAGTATGGCCATTCTCAATTTGAGCTATGCCATATAACTATCATTAAGTTAAATCTATAATGATATATTTATATGCCAGTAATAAACAGTGAGTGGCTTGAGCAATACACTAAAATCGTGTCACACTCCATTCCTCCACAGTGCTGTATTGTCTGAGAATCCTTTGCTGCTGGTCGAGTGAGCCACTTTGTCTAGAGAAGGTAAGACATTTTTCAAAGCAGACATGTTGGCTTGTCATGATAGTAAAAAGCACAGGTGTTACAATATAAACAAGGGCTTGTTTTATTCAAGTGTGCCATGGCATCCATTATAGCAGGGCTCTGACACTGAAACAGCTAAATAGAATTCAGCTATCCTTAATTCTATTACCTACACCTGTGTTTCCAACAGTGACATGTCAAAATGTCCTCCATGATTAACACCAAGTATGTGTAATAGCATTGAGTAGATCTGCAGGAGGATTCTAGCTCCACTTGTTTCACATCCCTTAGGAACCCCCTTGTTTTTTTGCAGCCATCATACAATTCTTTTTCAACTGAGCTAGCATTCAGAGCTTTGTAAATATTTTAACAGTGTCATTTCATGTGGAGGGGAGAAGCATGCTTTTGATTGTGGTACTTAGAGGAGCCTTTCCCTCAAACATGCTGAGGACAATGGCTTCCTGATCACGCAATACTTGGGATGTGGTTTTGGGATGGAATTTGAGGTACATTCTCTAAAAATAGGAATCAAGATAATAACGTTATAACGACACTCCAATAGATTGAAAAGGGAGTACTACTTATTTTTCAAAAGACTTTCAAAGCATCATATTAATCATGTGGTTTCACTAAAATAATAGATCAATATTAATCTGTTAGCATACGTTGTGCAATGGTGGGAGACACCTTTTTAAAAGTTAGGAGAAAAGATAACAAGAGAAGTTAAGGTTAGAGGTCAGAGCAGGGCAATGCCGCAGAGCCAACAATGCTTAGAGTCAGACAGCTGAGGGGTCAGGGGGTAAGGGGAAAAGACCTCATTGAACCTCAGAGGACGATGTGTTCCATGTCCTGAATGTGTGTGTCTGGGAGTATACATGCGTAAGGTGTGTTCAGCCGGCAGGGGGCAGGAGTGGAGGCCACAGGTCACGGTGTGAGCATGGGTCAGAGGTGCCCATCCTGCCGAATCCTATGAGTCGGGGTTTGACAAAGCTCTGTTTTTGTATGTGCTTGCATGTGTTTTCTTCCTGTGGATGGAGCAAAATCAGTTTTTCTATTGAAAGAGACAAGTACAGCAAATGCCCAAGTTTGTTTTGAAATGAAAACCATATTTAAAACGTGGTTACTTAAAGACTTAAGACTTAAAAACGTAAAGCCAAATGACTTTTTATGTGTTGAACCAAAACCTTCAACCAACATTCCTGAATTAAGTAGTCTTAATAATTCTTATCCACTAAATAAATAGAATGATAGAGTAATCCCCTCACTTATTGCTTGGTCTCCTTTGCAAACTGCAAACTTATGAAGAAGAAGTAAAACTTCAAACTGTGATGTGCCATTTGTTTCCTGTTGAATTTCTCTTTTGTTTTTCCACTTTGTTCTCCAAGGAACTCTGCTAAATGCTGGGTCCTCTATCATGCTGTCAAAAAGGAGACTTTGTCTGAGCTTTTCATGTCTTATCTAGGTCTGAGCCAAATGAAATGTCAGGCCATCATTTCTCCTCAGTTCAACAGGAAGCTGCACACAGCTCAAATCAGCCAGAATGCGCTGCAATTAAGTGTGGCCCCAGAGCTACAAAAGCCCCCTATAAGCTGCGGCTCCTGTTACATTGTAGCCTGCAGGATGTAACGCATCTATTCAACAGCAGCTCAACTGTGGCTGCTGACAATAGCTCAGGAGGAACATTGGGGTGATGCAGCATTGTGACACCTGATGGCAAATGTTTTGGTACTGGGGTTATCTCCAAAGCAGCCAATATACAGTGAGCCAACTTTTCAATTTTCTGAACACAACACAGCACCTGTCTGGACACTAATCACAAAGGGTGTGTGCCTTTTCTATACATGATCTATGGCTTTCGCGGACAATAAATGGTTCACAATGATGTGTATTGTTGTATGCACAGGCTCAAAAATTGCATTGCTGCTGGGATTGGATTTAGATTTGATTGTTCTTTTAAATGATTTGGGTAATTCAGTTTTATATAAATAATCTTATACTCTTGTTATAATTCCCTTCATAAAAATTACCTTTCTCCGCTCACTGAATGTAATTGTATTTGTGACTTAGTTGAATGAATATTGTGAATATAAAGCGTCAGAAAGCCTTGGGATAATAAGGGTTGTCTGATAAACCAATGCCATAAAAACTGTTCATCAGTGTCAGTAATTCAAAATAATCTATTGGAAGGCAAGAATAAATGAAATGTCCTCTACATTTATTCAGTGTTAAGCATAAGAAAACCCAACCAGTGGGTAGAGACATTGTGACTTATCAAAACAGGTGTAACTAATAACAGCTTCATTTCATTTAGGTATGCCATGCAGGGGCTCATTTTGCAGTCTGGCACACTGGCATGGCTTACTGGCACAGCTAAATGGAAAGAAGCCATCATTAATGTTATTAGTCACACCTGTGATTTTCCTGCCATGAGAAATGTCTTTAATGTCTATTCAAAATTCAGTGGGTTTGAGTGCTACAGGCATAACTGGATGGTTTGGGGAACGCAAGCCAAACCACCTTAGCACAAAACTATTGCCAAGAAGCCTCAGATTAAATTATTGATGGAGCATAGGTTCATTCTGTGGTGGCAGGTCAGGGCTCCACTTCATTGCCGGAGGTGTTTACTGTAGGAAACAACTGCAGGACTCCACAAATAAGGTGAGATGAGTCCTTCCTCCTTCCGCTGACTTGCACAGTCGACTCATGCAAGACAATGTGGCAGTCCGCCAGCTGGTGTGTTTTGGTCTTTGCTGGGGTTGTGGTTGCTCTGGAGCCAAACTTTCTTGACTCATCTCCACTCAGAAGGGGAGATGCCAGACAGTCGTGGTGTTTGTAAGTGAGAGTGAAAATAACCATCTGTGGGCCATCTCTCTAGCATCTTTTATTTACCGACACCACCCTGTCTGGCCCTGCTGTCTGTCTGCTTGCTATCTAACTATATTAAAGAACAGACTGGATTTCTGATTTGCACTCAGCTATTGTTGACTTTGTGGGTTGACTAGCCTGGTGCTAATAGCTTACTTAGACTCAACGTGTGTCTGATTAGCTCTAAATAACATTACTGTTAATATTTACTCTAAAAAAACTGCAAAAAACTTGAATACACTAATAAACTAGAAGAGCCCTCAAGAGTTCATTATCTCAGCAAGGGAGGTCTTTCATTAAGCTGTGTGACATCTCTCTGTTTAATCATGGATTACCTTGCAAGCTACTGGACACATCAGCCCTATATTGTTCTGCTTATTTTTCACTGTATGCTGAAGAACCTCTTGTAGTTACAAAGATTAGAAAAATGAAACAACATACTGTATATCAACTAGATATTCCGATCCCCCTATGATGTGGATGTCACTTGGTACATTCTAATGTACCCCTTCCTGTGTTTAGGAGCTTTGCTTTGTTACCATCTTTGAAAACATTTCAACCCGCTATGCTGTTACCACCATATCATTTGTGTCTGTTATTTGTTAGATAATCATCCTTCTTAAGTTTCGGAGCTAAAGTAAATAATGCGTTGGGGGAGTAAAGTAAGTATAATGTTGCCATGGAGTCAGTGATTTATGCTGTTAGCTACAACCCTGGTTTTAGCCTTTTATTTATTTACTAAATGACACCCTTAAAGGTAAGGTAGGTAAGTTTGAGAAACCGGCTCGAGATACAATTTTTGTTATATTCCATGGAATGCTCTTAACATCCCGATAGCAATGAATATCTTAAGTGCTTTGACAACAAATCCATAAGAAAATGTCATCTGTGGAAGCCGTGGCGCTGTAAAAAGCACGACCAATCATTTGAGCCGGCCCGGCTAAAATAACTGGATGGCCTACCTGCCTCTCAGCCTTCCATCTGTGCACAAACTTATCTCGTGCCCTCATTGGTCATGTGCGCGTTCGTGTGTGTTGGAGGAGGGGCTCTGTAAGGAAGTGGCAGATTTGTTCCGGCTGTGTATTTTCAAATTCTAGCACACTCGAGCTGGTTTCTCCAAAATGACCTACCCCACCCTTAAAAGTGTGCCAAATTAGCTATTAGAAGTTCCTAGTAAAGATGCGAACAATTTCAAGCAATGTATTACACCCTATGATTTCTAAGCATATTATGGACATTTACTTGTTAAACAGATCAGAGATAATAATAATCTTGGAAGTGTACGTGACACCAAATCTGTATATATGTGTGTCATATCTGTGTTTAGTCTTGACTGGATGAATATTGATGTTATGTGTGTATTTTCTTTTATATTAGCAATGCCGGTGCCAGATCAGCCCGCGGAGCAGGAGAAAGGGGCCATGGTAGCCCCTGTGATGCCAGCCTCCAATGGAGAAAGATCTGAGACGGAGACCACGTCCTCCATCCTCGCCTCTGTCAAAGAGCAGGTAGGAACTCTCAAATGTACACGTGTTCTGGTGCCAAACTCGCTTGTGTTTAACTTTGATAAGAAAGGCACATTTTGGCTCTTTCCTCTTCCCTCCCCTCATAGCCCATAAACAGCTTGCTATTAGGCTGGTCAGAAGGTTGTCACTGTTATTTAGCGAAAAAAGTGCTCTGCTGCTGTAAAGTGTTTAAAAGAAACCAAAGATTGATTGGTGCCAAGGGAATACGGGAGCGTAATGGATGGAAATGATGGGGATTACGGGGCGCGAGCTGTAGCCAACTACACATGATTGAAAAAGTCATTAAAATCAAGGCAATTACTAGACAGGGAGCTTTATAAGGAAGCTGCAGTGCTGTAAGTGTACAGGCCGGGCCATGGGGCGGCCCGGTTCAGGTTAGCAGGAGGAGGTGGAGAGAGGGAAGGAAAGTTGTACTTAGAGCGAGGAGAGAAGAGAGGACAGATGACATGGGAAAGTCACTGTGAGTGAGTGGGTTCGTTTGGTGTAGAGGGAGATACTGGACAATAATAATTTGCAAGTTGGCAATTTAAATCTACTGAGATAAAAAAAAGTGGACTGAAAAGATGTAGAGAAAGCAAAAAGAGGAGAAACAAAGGAATAATTCAAAGGGATGTAGCTTTTAAGTTTCAATGATACAGTTCCAAGTGTCGAAGTAGAAGTTAAAAACCATCACATTTAACAGTATAGGTTACGGTAAAGTGTGTGTGTGTGTTAGTTTGCACAAGTTTAAAATAAAGAACCCAACAGAAACATGACCTTTGCATGATGAGAAGATATTCTGAGTACCGAGCCGCTCTTCAAAAAAAATAAAAACTCACACACTCACTAATTGCATCTGGTGATTTGTGTTTAGCCGTGGACTTATTTTCTTTGAATAATGGAATTCTGTTTCATTTGGATTTAGCTCATCAGTACATGCAATACACAAAGATGCATTGACTCTGAAATCCTCCTTAATTTAATACCACAAAATATTCCATTTACCCATACCAAGTGAAGGACAAGTGCTGATGGCAATTTCATATTTTCTTTCCTTTACAAATGGCATTCATTTGTGGGTTTCTCTCTCAGTGCGCTCAGATTTCTGAATCACTGAAGCATGCACAATTAAGTTAGATCCATGCTTTGGACGAGATGTGAACCTGCAGTCTCCGTCCCCCTCCTGTTGGGAGAGCAAATGTAGTGAACTTATCCAAAAGGGAATTCTTTACAGACTAGCTGTTGTTAAAGCCTCACTTTTCTTCTGAAGTGCAATAGCTATAAACATGTTTGAAATTCAAAATGATTGACTTATTCTGTCATCATAAGGCAAACGAGCATTGAATCAATAGTTGCAACAAAAGCATATGTTTTACGTATTTTCCAGTGCATAAACCTTCAAAAACATTATTGATAATTCCACAATAGCTGTCTACTGGAAAATATTTGTTACAAATTAGACTTCAGGAGACACAAGGCCTATATATTTTCTCCCGTCCCCCCTATAGCTGCCCGTATGCTTGTGATCCTACACAGTTGCTGGTGATTAGGGTAGTGTGTATGGTATGTATATAATGCACTTACCATCAGTAGGTCTATTAGCGCCATGATATTTCATGAATAATACATTTCCACACAGGGAGCACAGTAATGTCTGCATACAATTAAATAATGGTACGGAAAACACAGAATTATGGTACTATCTGAAGGTTTGATATGTTCCTGTGGGCGTATTTCTTAAATAAAGAAATTTTTTTTAATCAACAGCTCTAAATCTCTCTGCCTCACACTGACATTCTGTGTCCCGGTGTGTTTGTGGGTAGGGGGGCGTCCCTGCATATGATAATATTACTCCACTAACCCAGCAGTCCCACTCCCATTGCGGCATCAACATGCCTCACACACACCAAGGATACACACATGGCTTGGATTCCTTTTAGTAGACACCATCTGTCTGCTGGTGAGTGTGTGTGTGTGTGTGTGTGTGTGTGTGGTGTGTGTTGCTGGTGGATAAGTAAAACATGACGTGGTATGTTCATGTTAGTGAAAGGACTTCCAACCACTGTTTGCCCCGAGGCTTTTTAAATTATTACAAGTATGCAGTCTGCAGAATAAATAAATGTGACAGAGAATAAAACTAAATGCTGCTTTGGACATCAAAGGCATCACTGTGCTGCACTTTGTATAAAACCTTATTATTTGGGACAGCACTAAGCACCTTACTAAAAATCTGATTCATCAATCATCAATTAATCAGAGCCATTCTACATCTAAACCAGCTATGACATTAACACACAACAATAGTTCATCATGTTGGTTGCTGTTGGCGTGTTGGTTTTGGCGGGCACAGCACTCAGGTTTGGGAGTCCTGACCTCCTGGGGATTGTCTCTAACGAGAGGTCTGGAAATTGGCATAACCAATTATTTTTCTACACTTATCACCGCTGCAAAGCACTCTGTGTGCCTGGGGTTTTGAAACGTGTACCATGTGAACCCCTCCACAGCACATAAAGTCCCAAGCTGTATTTGGAGGACTCTCACCAGGAAGACACAGAGCTTCACAGTATTTTCACAGATGTGACCCAATAAAGTCTGTATGAAACCTACCTGTAAAAATACACTAAAGTTGAAGTATGCATTACTCATATTCATAAACATATAATGTATTACTGTTAAAGTTTTGTGAGATATATACTGGACACCCTAGTAACAAGAGTTCTTGAGTTTGACTGGACTTATTTGTGGCGTGTCCTCTGTGATTTGTTAATTAGTCAAATTACATGTATTTAATTCAACAAAGCTCAACAGGAAATCTTCATCGTCATGCTACATTTTCACATCCTCAGATAAATATCAACTGGCTACATATTTTGTTAGATTGTTCCTATTTAACAGTTTCTGTGCTACAGTTGGATCCATTTTAATTCCTCAAGATGCTTTGCACTATGTTGCATCACGCCTAGTCGTAGGAGAGCTCCACAGAGACCAATTTCACCAGAGCTGATTTGCTCGACAATCTATCAGTTTCCTGCATACCTTAATTTAGCTAGAATTAATGTCCTCTGTTTCTAGAATAAACGTGCGCAATTTAACCTTGTTTCTTGCTAAATTATATTCTTCATGTTTTGCTTGCATTGCCCTGACTGATACTGATATGAGTTTAATGAAAGCGGTTTTATTTGCTTTTTACCCAGCAGCCAGTTAATCTTTTTTTGAGAAAGAATAATGCTACTTCGTATTTTTCTTCTGCACAGTTTAGCATCTAGACCATTGATTGTCTTCAAATTACATTCTAATGATAGATTATGGTCATTTGGTGTTGTGGGTTGGTAAACAATTTTGCGTGATTTTGGGCCAGTAAAAGGTTGCCGGGAAAAAGGTTATTGAGCAACCAAATGATGCGTCAAACATCCCCTTTTTATGTGGACATGCAACATGAAGAAACCCTGTGTTAACAAAGCAAGGGGATAACCAATGTTGTGGTGCATAGTTTCTCTTTTTAGGGTTTGAAACTTAAGTTGAATCAGTTTATTTTCAGGGACCAAGTTGTGGTTTCGGGCCAGTGCAGTCTTCATCATTGTCACAGTTTGCTTCATGTGAGATGAAAGTATCCATAAACTACTCGAGTTATCTATGTTCCACAAGTGATGGAGGTTTTCAGTTTGCATATTTGAAAGGATCAAGTTCTTCCTCAGAGTTGAGAGAGTAATGTATTCTATCCTTTATACTGCCGGATATTCTCCAGGCTCCTTTTTTTTCTGCTGGAGTTTGAGTCCACTTCTTTGGCCTTCTGAGTGTGCTGAAACTTCCCTCTACTACTTCCACTTTCACTCAGCTTGACTGCTGTCCAACACATATAGAAGTTGGTTTAAAAGTGATTCTGTGTGGGTGTCTGTGTGTTGTTCACAGCTTGTTCTGAGAGTACATTTGTGTTTGTGTGTCCTAATAGACTTCTCTGCATCAACCTCCATCTTGTGGCTCCTGTTCTCTCCCCTTTATCGATACCCTGTCTAGTGCTTCATTTGACAGCTGTGTTTTGGAGCTGGGATTAATGAACTCTGTCTCAGGGTCAGAATGATCAAGAAGAAATAAATCCTCCCCCCTGCCCATGACTATCTGATACAGCAGCTTATGAAAAACCTTGAGTCTCCTGAAATTCTTATTATGTCACAAATAGAGGACAAAAGGAATATTCCCATTGTAATGAAGTGATGAATCATTTTTTGAAAGGGTTTCATTGGTTTGTGGAACCTGATATATAAGACCATGTTAACCTTTACTGTATGCAAAAGAAATTGGAATTTGTAAGGTTTCTTGCTGCCATAACAGCATAATACGTACTCTTTTTGCGGTAAGCTTTGAAATTATACTGTCATACCATCTTACAGTAAGAACTTTGACAGCGCATTCAGAGGATGGATGTGCTGGTTCAAAGCTTTTTGGGCTTTGAACCTATCTGCCAGCTACTCTGCCAGTGGTTTTCAGGCTTAAAATTGGGTTTCGTGCCTCTGTCACTCCGTGCGTGTCCTCAGTGTCCTTCAACATTTGTCTCTTTTACTGTGCCAGTGTAGGAACGGATTATTTAGCCAGCAGGCATTCACTCTGTGTGTGAATGGTGTGTCTGTGACCTGACTAATTGCACATATGTGAATAAGTCAGTGCGTGCAAAATGGCTCTGTAAGGGCCTGTGTGTTTGTGCGTGTCTTGTGGATAAGTACACTGTAATCGGAGAGATGATTGTCTGTAAGGTGGGGAGGATATTGTCTAGCTCTGCCAGTAAACACACTCGGCAGGAAACATTGGGAGACATGGATGCTCTTTACACACACACATGCACATGCACATGCACATGAACAGATATTAGATTACGCTGTAAAGCCAAACTTGCCTTTCTGCAGGTTTCCAGGAGTCGCTGTGTGTGTATCCAGTGTTACAGTGTGTTTCTGCAGTCTTTAAGACACCTGAGTCACTCACAAATGCCAGATGTAATTTAAATGTAATTT